CATTGGCATTTCAATAATTGTCCGCAGTATCCAGATACAGAACTGTGTTGAGAGGCCCCGACTCTATGCAGCTTAGTTGACTGTCTGTTATACTTATCCTCTAGGTTTAATACTTTCTTTCACAGACCTGGATCAAGTCTCTGGAAAGCATGCTTACAACACTGTGATTATACTTTACATGGGATCAATTCACCGAACTAAAACTGCACATATGTATTATGGTCAGCTGAGTCAGCACACGGCTCAGTGTGTATTGCAATATTGGGAACTGTGAGCCCCCTTTTACATATGGGCATATCAGGAACACGTGTTGTGGTGATGTGCGTTCCAGTGTATTCGCGGCCACTTGTTTCCCACATTTGTCACCATTGATTTCAATGGGTGCCAAACACACACCAAACGTGGGAAAAGTCGCACATGTAGCAAATGTTGTGACATGCAATTGGGGTTTTTTCTGTGCATTTGTTAGCATTTTATCGCACACAAGCACGGGGAAAGAACGACAGTTTGCTCAGCATAGTTTGGGGTGCCATTACTAGTAATATTATAAAGTAGTCACCCGCCTTTATTCAGACAGTTTTATTCAGACAGCAGGTATACATGGCATCACCAGTGGACAGCAAAGTTTCGGAACCATTAGAGGTTCCTTCTTCAGGCATACATAGTGACAGTCACTTGTTTGCCTGAAGAAGGAACTTCTGATTATTCCGAAACGTTGCTGTCTACTGGTGATCCCATGTATCTTTAGCGTCTGAATAAAGGTGTTACGTTTGACCTTGGTGTATGGGTAACTACTTCATACTTATGGATTTACGTAGTGCCATCCATTGGTCATACCAGCACCCATCTTATTGCATTCAGATTCCGGTCTGGAGTGCAGTGGGACATAGATCATTATGGCCATTACTAGTAAAGACACCACAAGCGCATTCTGTGTTTGGTGCGTTTTTCACGAACGAGCGTCATAGCATGCACTTTTATGCACATTTGATGCGTATTTACAACACACTCATATGTGAATGAGGACTAAGAGCTGGTCCACACCACACCACATGGCAAGGCATAGCACATAACGTGTGTACCCTGCAATGTTGTGTGAAGGTGCACTGCCATGCTCTGTGATATGATGCTATAAAACATTGCAGTGCTCCGAGTTTTTCATGTAAATTCCATGCACATCAGCACATTGCAACACTTTGCAGCACATTGTAATGCACTGTCTGCATTTTATTGCCCAGCAACACAGTGCCCTGATGTGAACAAGCCCTATACAAATCAAGGCTTTTTCTCTTGTATTTGCATTGGGACTGCATTGTGTAATGCTGCCCAACACAGCCCAGTGGGGCTAGCGTGAAGCAACCCTTAGAATCCCTGTTTTATCCATGATAGCCAGAAAACATTGCAGAATTCATTGTACTTTGTGTGTGCCTCTCCCTCTCTTTGCACTTTTGTTTTCCTGTTATTTATAAAACATCCAATATTTTAAAATTTGGATGTATTTATTTGGAACAGTAAAATTGTTTATAATCACATGTGTTGTGTGTTACATCATGCCCACAGGGCCACTTTCTAGTCCCTATCAGCCATTGCAGCCAGTGCAGGCCCCACTTCTGCAGAAATCATAATTAAGGGCAATAAAAAAATCTGAAGCAATACTATAATGCCACCAAACTATTTTTATCCTGAATCTGAAATGGAGAAATGGGAATGACTTTAGTAATGTCACACAATTTACTAATTCTATTGCAGCCTTGTGCAATCAAAAATAATAACACATGAATGCGTTTAGGTAATTAATCAACAATGACAGTCCCGAGGTCTCATGAAAGTAAACACTGGGAAGGATCATTTTGTATATTTATAAATAGAGGAATTCTTTACTTATATTTGAACTTTGCAATCACAAAGTATCAAAAATGGTATCAGCTGTTATTTCATACTGGAGAGCTCCACAAACACTTTTATAAATCCCTGGAATAGGGCGAGCCATGCTGCATCGCTGCAAAAAATGCACACAAGACATAAAACCTACCCAGATAGTTACATACATGTTTTTCTCCGGCAGGTTAAATTATTTTTCCAAATGGACTCATACATATACCTTCCCTTTGCTCTCAGATGATTGGATGAGCTTCCCCTCATTTACTAAGTTGAGGGAAAATTCCCTGGCAGAATAAACAAATTATTTGTCTTCAGTAAATCAACCCCCATCTCAACCTTTGTTATATATATAGAGAGAGATATATATATATAGATATAGATATATATCTATATATATATATATCTGGTGGCCTGTAGACATCTATACACAGCCATCACCCAATAATGTAAAAATGTTTTAAAAATATAATTGTTTTTTTTCTTTAATTCTGTTAATCTTCGGATTGTGTTTTATGGCCATTTTGCTCATGATAATTTGGTATCATAAACAAAATAATACTGCATTTAATTAATATACATATTTATGTTACATAATTTCTGTGTTTTAATAAGCCTGGAAAAAGCAGAGGCTGCTTTCTTTTTTTTTTTTTTTTAAAGGGGTTTTCCTGCCAGGTACACTTTAAACCTATGTTGCCACTGCTTAGTATTCAGCAGTGGGAAAGAGTTGTTTTATTTGTTTGTTTTTTAAGTCTTAGCTTGTCATAAGTGTGGTGGTGAGAAAGCGTTTTCAAAACTTTTGAAGTTTTAAGAGTTTTCATTATGCCATATATGCTTTAGTCAGTAAGTGCTAAATACAGCCCCTAGTGATAGTTTTTAAATTTGCTAAATGACTGTTTAAGAAACATTTAGCAAATTTTATCTGATGTGTAGCTGGCTTCAGCAGGCAGATATAGCAAGACATGGCCTGATCATTGCAGATGCATACTAAAAGCTGACTAATGGCCACCTAAACTTTCTTTATGCTGTCTGCAATGGAGTTGATTATTTAAAGGAGTAGAGGCTGTTCACTTAGCAAACTAAATTGACTGAGCTCTGTAAATAGGGTGCAGCTGTTTTAACTTAAACCTACCATTCAGGTCGTAGCAATAATCCTGATTTTTTAACTTTTTCCTCACTCATGACTGTGTAAGTGAACATAAACATTCACCTGTTAAAGTGAACTTACACTTTGCAAAGCAAGCAACCTAATAAATAAACACAATTGTCATGAGACTAACCTTTACATTTTTTTGGATGATAAGCCCTCACGGGCAGGGCCCTCCTAACTATCTTGTCTTAATTTGTACTGTAACTGAAATGTCTTCCTTATATTGTAGATCGCTGCACAAACTGTTGGTGCTAAATAAATCCTGTATAATATAATAACTATATTATTAGCCTTCAAATCTCCAACACTGTAGCAGAAAGCTGTATAGAATGAGCTGTCTTGTGCATAAACCCTTTGTGAAATTATTCAAAATGACCATGGTTAGAGTTCAATTTTAACATTGATCTGAACCTTGACAACCTCAGTAAAAACATACTACTTTATCCAATTGAATGACTTGCTGAATGTCTAAGCACTCTTTTCTTGATGAAAGATTTATTTTAAATAAAAATAAAAGTACTTACAGTCTAAGGAATATCTGATGTAAAAAGGAGCACAACTTGTGTTAAAAACAATACGCATTTGGCCTTGCTACCCCGTGTAGCATTTATTTATGCAGCAATACATTAAATAAAAAGGGAGCACTGATATTTTAACACTACCAGTTTTGCAATTTTCTTATTGGAAATTACGTAGCCAAAAGTGGTTTAACAAAGAGGAAACAAACCTGAGTGATTTTTGTTTTAAAATATATTGTACCAACATCAAATGTAATGCAGTAATAACATACAAATTGTAAAATAACTTAAGAGCACACTGAAAAAAAAATGGAATATATAAATAACTTGTTTTCATGGAGAACAAATAGTTACAAAGCCCACCCATTAAAGTTCATTTAAAGGAGAGCTTCCCCCACCCTCCCTCATCCCCCCACCGCCCCCAACAGGTCACCATTAGTGTCCAAAATCTCCAAATCATGTTTGCTAGCAAACTGCAATCACAATCGCCACGTCCACATTAAATATCTATATGTATTCAAAATAAAGGTCACACGATACTGGAATAGAATACACCTCTCATGAAATTAAAATGCTAACATGGAACTAATCGATTCACAATGTAACCAAAATAAATTTTGTTCATGTATATTAACATATTTTACATGTAGCCAATGGCTAGCATGGGATATGCATTAAATATTATATTTAATACAGTACACTCCTGGCCAATGCTATGTGAAAATATATCTCCACTTTGAATTGTATGTGCTCATATGTTAAGGAGATACAAATAAAAAAAATAAAAAAAAACAATCTGTTCACTTTTATAAATACCAAACCTTTGCCATTGTATGTACATTTGACAAGAAATGCTTTGGAAGAACTTCTGTCACATAAAAGGTTAAATAAGAAATATATAGGTCATTTGATTTCCTATTGGTTTAGGTGAAAGGGATGATACATTTTCAGCTTACATGTGTAGCACATTCTACTAAAATCGAGGATGAAGTGCAAGGGAGATCATGAAATGTGGAAACATGCAAACCAGGAATCTTTTAGCAAAATCACCTGTACATTTTGCCACTGGAAATCAGCAAAGATATAGACTTTATTTAACTCTAGTCCTTCTTCCAGAAGTGTTGGCCAATCCAGAAGACAATACACAAGGAGGCCCGCCTCACTTGTCATATTTTCTTGTATTAAAGTGAACTTTGCACAAAAGGGTCAGTGTCAAAACCTGGGAATGTCCAAACATATTCCTTCCCCACCAATAATAGATCACATCTATTTTATTTTTATTTATTTTTTTATCCCCATCGTCCACTTTATTCTCTGCTTCCGTTTTCAAGTTCTGTAGCAAAAAAATTGTGTGTGGTGCTCCCCTTCCCTCTTATAGCACACACACATCAGCATAAAAAAACATCAAATTTAAAGATTATTTACCAAATATAATTAGCACTCTGTCTCTGTGGTCTGTCCTTGTATAGAGCTTCTTAGTAGCCATATTGGTCCCAGAACATCAAAGGTATTTCATAGGTAGTGATACCATTTAGTGGACCAATGTCTCAGTTTTTTCTTTTAAAAAAAAGGTTTCTGCTGCATACAATTTCAAGACTGCAGAAGCTTCATCGACAGTTTTTAGGTCTTTTTGGATTCCTTTAAACTTGTAAAGGGCAGAGGATGTTGGGTGAGTCTGAGACTCCAGGCCATAAATAAAGAGCTAAGGATAATGTCTATAGACCCCAAAGTCTTGGGGCCCGAGGGCCGCTAGTCACAGTCCCAGGGCAGCTGCATGCTTTTTGGCTTTCAGTCTGAGGTCTGCAATGCTTGAGTTTTTGCTGGATGTTTTGGCTGCTGCAGCTGCGGCCACTACTGACGCAGCCGTCGCTGTTTCCGCTGCCAGTGTTGCCAGTGGGAGACCAAAGGGTGGAGCAGGGAACATCATATACGGAGCATGTGCTGTCAGATGAGGGTGGAGGTGGTGATGAGCGTGTGCCACTGCACTGTCCAGTTGCAACTGTGCCTGAACCTGGAAGGACAAGGATGGCATGTTGCAATGACTATCCTACAAGTAGTATTGCAGGCAAGCAGGCAAGAGCCACAAGAAAGAAAAAAAAATATCAAACCATTAACACAACCACGATCTATCAGATGTACATGCAGAATAATTTGTTAACCCATTGCAGCCATAGATTCTGTCAAAACGGTATTCTGTTGATTGTTTTGACTCATCAAGAAATTTTTTTTAAAAAACAATATTTATGATCATGCTATCAAAAAAAGAATAATATAAATGTGATAACCTCTGATCTGATTACATATTTAAAAGGTATTGCTAATAGGGGTGGGGCACATGACACATTTTTTTACAATACTGTAGAATTTGAAACATGTATTATAATATATTTATATTAATCTAGTGGGGAAATTAAATAAATGTGGGTTTAGAAATTATTATAGGTGCTGGTTTTTTAAGATGAGCTAATCAAACCATATCCAATAAAAAAAATACAAAAAAAGTTACAAATAATTCAATTATTTTATGGATTAAAATTGTTGAAAAACAAAAGTAGAAAATATGAGAATCTGATAGATTTTGTTTTCCCTCTGTCTCCAAGGCTAGACACCCTGTACATACATAAGCATTGATTGTGTGAAAATAGACTTCTGGCTAAAATCAAAACTAAAAGGAATAGCAGAAAAAAAAAAAATGTTGATATGCTGAGTTTCCAGCTGTCAGAGAGCAGGAGTGGGACTACAGCTCAGGAAAGGTATCAGGGCAAGTGGTCAGAAAAGTCCTTTACAAGGGAAGTTTGGTCAGCCTGATAGTTGAAGCTTGCTTGTATTAATATACACATTATCCTAGAGCTTTGTGGGGAGAGATTAAATGATGTCATCATCTCTATAAACGAGCCTCATGTACACAGAGTACTCACATGATTAAATATTAATAAGCATGCTTTCAATGCAGTCATTACATAAACACTGAATGAGTTTAGCTCAGCCCTCTCTTTCCTCCTTGAGTCTGTCCTGCTATGGCTGCTCCTGTTTAGTGTACACATTTATTTTTATTTCTGCTGATCTATTTTGCTGATGATGGCAAACAAAAAGCATGCAACGATTTAGGAATCAAACAGAGTCGGCTACGATGTACTTGCCTGCTGAAATGGCATCCTCAAAGCGCCCACGTTGACATAAGGTGCTACACGACAAGCTTCAAATTGGCTGCCTGCTCCGATAAGGACCCCTGCGAATATCAGAGGGATGGAGATGAGAAGTGTAGAACAGGTAGCTCATGTAACAGCAAAGGTCTCTTGTGATAACGCAGCAGACCCCTGCCCTTTTCATTCTATTGACAGTACATGTGTTTAAGACGAACGGATAACATTGATCCAGCAACTCGCTGTGGAGGGCTGATGGCGCACACAGGGTTAAATGCGCTCAACGCTCAGACCCCTGCGTTCACACTACGCTGACGAACTATTCGCTTCTACAAGCCCGCACAACCAGAATTCGTTGCACCTGCAGTCAACTAAAACCATGCAATAATATGTGAGAGGTTTAGAATATTTACACTATACCTTTATGTAGCTGGTTTTCCTGCTTCCTGCATTTCGCTCTTCGGTTTTGAAACCAGACCTGGATAAAATAAAAAAGGATAGATATTTGTACTTCTTTGTATAGAACGATTACAATGTATAATGGAACTTTGGAGAACAAGGTTTGGTTATATGTATCCTTCGTAGTGCCCATTTAGTATGGCTGCCAGTCCAATGAGCTCTCTTAGTTATATCACTCGATAACATTCACAATGTATCATATCACTTTTTATAAATCACAATTGATCATAAGTTAAAATGTATCCTATCACTCTAAATAAATTATAATTTATCATATCATAATGTATTCTATCACTTTATATAAATTATGATTTATCATATCATAATGTATCCTATCACTTTATTTAAATTACAATTGATCATGAGTTATAATTGATCATATCACTCTATATAACTTATAATGTATCCTATCGCTCTATATAAGTTATCATTTTTCCTATCACTCTATATAAGTTATAATTTATCATATCACTCAAGTTACAATTTATCATAGCACTCTATGTAAGTTACAATTTATCATAACACTCTATGTAAATTACAATGTCTAACTGAAGTTTTGGGATCACAGTTTTGGGTATATGTACCCTTCGCAGTGCCCATGCATTCTAGCTGTCAGCGCAATGAGCCCTCTCGGTCATATCACTATAAATGACAATGTACAATTGCAGTATTGAGAACACAGACTGATTCTATGCACCCTTCCTAGTGCCCCTGTATTCCGGCTGGCAGTGCAATGAGCCCTCTCGGTTATATCAGTCTACACAGGGCATTTAATGAGCGCCGAATTTGGGATAATTACATGTCATAAAAGCATCGCTACAAAGAAGTTTAGTCTGCTCCTCTGTGCATTAAACAATATAACACGCCGCATAATTGTCTCATTATTATGATAATCCCATTGGCTCCCTCAGAGAAAAGTCTGAACATCTGATCTAAAAAAATTATCCCAGAGAAATTACAGAAGGGGGGGAAAAAAATCATGAGCTGGAAAAGAATACAACTTTGTGGACTGCTTGTAGCTGTGTCTGCGTGTATAAGGAGTTCACTAGTGGAGTTTAGTAACAATAATAATAGAAATAATAATAATACCAATAATAATATTAGCAGTAGTAGTAATAATATAGTCAATGGTTGCAGTAATACCAGTAAAAGTATTGATTTATATTTATAATAATGTTCACAATTAAAATATATTTGTAACATGAAAAACCACAGCAAATCGGTACCGGTACTGTGTCACATATATGGGATTATCATAACAAGAAGAATACATCTCCTATGAAAATTATATATATA